TACCATTAAGAAGGAATATAAGCAGGGTAAAAAGGTACCTAAAACTGGCTGAATTGGCTGAGGCTGTGACAAGTCAGGCTAAACAATGTTCCATTTTTCTTGAGGGTGGTGTCAGAGGAGAAATGTTCTGTCGTCTTTATGGTGGCCATTTTGGAACAGACTCAGCATCAGGTGCATGCTTCAGTTAGATTATGAACATACTGATGTGAGCATTCATATTAGTATTTTAGCTTGCTCATTAAAGTTGCAGTAACTTTAAAAAAATATTTTTTTGTCGTATTTGCTGAAGATTTAACTTTATCCTGACAGTAATATGAGACCAGATGATCTGTGAAATAAAATCAGGTTCCTCTGGTTCCTCCTATAGTTTTCCTAATGACTTTGGCATGAATCCATAGTGCCTGAATAAAAACAACCAATCAAAGCTGAGAATGATTCCCAGGTTGTCAATTCAAACTAAAGTGTTGCTATATTTTGTCAATACAATATTGAAAAAAACATTTACTGTCAGAAGAAAAGCAGCAAATCCTCACATTTGAGAGGCTGAAACTAGAGAATATTTGGCATTTTTGCTTAAGAAATGACTGAAATGATGGTCACATGTTTTAGTGATTAACTGGGACACATAAGAGGACTGAGCCATTATAGACCTTCTTCACAGGAGTCATTTTGACATGACATTGTATTTCACTTTACTGTTGCTTCCATGGAAAAAAAAAAAAATCTGTCCAACAGCACTTCATGTGGAATGGGGTTTACTGTCGGTTGTGTTACTACGATAATTATTTGCTATTTCATTATAAAGTAGCCTGATAAAAAGATGTGATGAGATGAGGTAATGTGTTCACTTCAGGCTGTATGTATACTTCAGGCTGAAGTGTTGTGGTATTGATTTGAATTAGACTTGTGTCAGCATGACATCACCTTGGCAACACAGTCTGAAGTGCTCTTTAGACTGGCTGCTTTATCATGTGTGTGTGTGTGTGTATGCGTGTGTATGTTGTGCTCTGTAGGGGAGAAATCCCTCCATCTGCTTTTCAGGCGCCATGGATTTGCTTTGCCATGACTCAGCACTTTTTTCTAAGCATGCACACACACGCATGCACACACACACAAACACACACACACACACACACACACACCCTTCTCAGTATTCAAAGTGTCGTTATCTTGTAGCAGCCTTTTCCATCACCTCCAATGTTTCTTAATAATCAAGTTCTGCTATAGCTATTGCTTTTCTTTCTCCCTTTCTCTCTCATTTACACACACACATGCACACATGCACACACGCACACACGCATACACACACACACAGGGGATGCCAGATGTATCCAGAGTAGAAATGAAATTCCAGTTGGGTGAATTCTGTCTCTGCAAAGCTTGGCTACTGTTTTAGGTACAACTCTCACAACTCTATCTCCCTTTTCTTCCTCTGCTGTCTCTCTTTTTCCTTGCATGACACAAACCACACTGTCACCTTTTCTCTCACCTCCTCTGACCCTCTGACTGTCTGCAACAGGTTCAACATTTCTGAATGAAAACACAGTCCATGAATGCAGTGTATGATATGTCGCAGGATAGAGCTCAATAAAGTCACAAGGGTTCCTTGTTTGTTTCCTGTCTGGTTCTGGACTTCTCAGTGAGGTTAATTCATAACTGAGACCTTTCCTTTCTTCAAATGAAGTCATTTTGTTACTTGCTTGGCTTTTTGCTGAACCATCAGTTTTAAATACCATGCACATTTATTTCACTTCTTTAAAGGAAGACTGTGCCAAAAGATTTAAACAGACATTTTATACGACATTAACTGGACACAAGCATGTGTAACTGGAACTTAATGGCATTTTTTTTTTAAATCCAGGCATTTACCTGTGTTTATTTTGAATGTTTACAAGTGAAGAAAAGATTAAAAAAATAAGATGTACACAGATTTATATAAATAAATTTTTCAGCGCAAACACAAATTTACTCTTTCTCCTCGTTCATGACCCAAACCACACAGTCCTCCCTTCTTTACTTCCACACATAATGGACTGATGGTGTATAACTAGCGTGTCATTTGTAATTTCTCCCAAAAGAAGTACATATTCACTGGTTTTCATCAGAAAAACTGGGTCTTCTTAAAGCAATATATACAGTATAATACCTATATGACCTTTTGATCTTTTTAAGAAAGAAATGGGAAAAATCGCTAGATGTGCAAAGCTGATCCAAACAGACTCAAGGCTGATGTTGCTGTCAAAGGTGCATCTACTAAATACTGACTTGAAGGTTGTGAATACGCATACAGACAATTATTTTGTATTATATAGTTTCAATTAATTTACATCAACTTGTAGGGATCTGTTTTTACTTTAAAATTAAAAGGTATTTTTCTGTTGATCAGTGTCAAAGAGTCAATAAACGCTGAAAACTTCCAGATAAGTAAATACTTTTCATAGGCATATGTAATATAATATATATGATATAAATAGCTGTTTATCAGACGATGCAGCTTGAAAGTTAAGTTTTCAAACTTTCACCAACAAAGATAACTGCAAAGATGTTGAAATAGGTCAAAGTACTGATGTAGCCACATCATGTATATTGTCCTGGCTTTATAAGTTGGAGTCTTTTGGTATAACTATTCCTGTTTGCTGCTTGGTCCATACATTAGTGGAAATCACACTGAAGTTTAAAAGGTCCAATGTGTAGGATTTAGTGGCATCTATGTAGTTGTGGATCACAACTCTGTTGCTTCATTCTCCCCTTCCATGGCAAGGGAGAAACTATGGTGACTGCAAAATGCACAAAATAAAAACCCTATCTAGAACCAGTCCTTGGTTTGTCCCTTCTGGGCTAATGCAGAAACATGGCAGTTCAACATGGCAGACTGCATTAAGGCGACCCACAGCTTCTGTATATATAAACAGCTTTATTATTGTTTATACACTCATGAACACCGATGAATATTATATTCCATTTCTGCTAACAGATCCTCCTAAATGTTACACAATGGATCTTTAATAAATACAATGGTTTCAAAATCTAATTCTTATTACCTTGGCATATTTTCATATAAGAGTTTGCCATTGCAGTGACAGACATCCTACAGGGTTGCACAGTGAACACAGTGTGAGTTAATCACATACATCCCTGGATGTCCTCTCCAGCTGCTGCAAAAGCTGTCGCCAGGACAGGAAGGGAGCATGTTACCCTGAAAAACATAGGAGGGATGTCAGCTCTGCAAATCACTGTAGAAAAAGACAAAAGCTTCCACCTGATGATTTAGGTCATGTCAGGAAATGTGATCGAACAAGCTATTAAACGGTTTCTTAGCATATTCCACTAACCCTCAGAACGTTGTCACCTTGGTAGCCCCATAAAAATGAGAGCAGGACTCATCTTGACACTTGGTTGTAGAGAGACATTAAATTGCTTTAAATACCATCCTGCTGCTTCACAGTCAAATCCATTTCTTTCAGGTGTTTGTGACTTAAATATATCCCACTTAATGTCTTTGATTATGAGGATTTATTATTAATCATCATAAAACCAGGGGAAGTGTTTGACATATTGCAGGGTTTTAAATCTGTGAGCATGTAAGTGGACTTAAATCAAAGCCAGAAATGGGATAAACTATGTTTATACTATATTTAGCAACTTTTTAACTTAAAAGCAGGATTTTCTTCTGAATGTGCTGACAACTAATAACTGTAGAAACAGAGCATTAGCTAAGATACCTTCCCAGTACTATCCATATCCTTCTCTTTGGTATTCCTGTCATCCACAAACTCCTCACCACTAATCTATGGACATTACTCAAACATATAAACAAGTAGTTTGCATTCATATCCAAACCGGGAGATTTATTATTGGCCAGCTTTAAAATCTTAGCACGGAGTGTCAACTCCAGACTATAAATTCACAGTTTTAAAGTTTCATTTCAAGTAGATTAAAATGTAATGAATCACATTTCACTTCTACAATTTGTCTCCAGATCCTCGCACTTCATTCTGTCACCTCTGTATCTCCCCTCTTCTCCATCACACACACACACACACACACACACACACGTTATTACATGAAGTTAAAGGTAATTCTTGTCATTAAAACACACTCTTTGTCTCTGTCCCCTGTTCAGGAGCTGGAGGTTGGTCTCCTCTTGTCTCAGACAGATACCAGTGGCTGGAGGTGGATCTGGGGAAGCGGACCCAAATCACTGCGGTTGCCACGCAGGGACGCTACGGCAGCTCCGATTGGCTGACGGGGTACCTGTTAATGTTCAGCGATACGGGACACAACTGGAGACAGCACCGGCAGGAAGACAGCTTAGGGGTAACTCTAAAAAAAGAAATTGAAAAGAAGGACGAATTTGCAACAGCAAATGCGTTTAGAAAGAAACGTAGTAATGCTTAAATTTTCTTGATCGTAACAACTTTATGGTCATAAATAGGCATCTATTGCAGCACATTATTAAGAACTGGGAGATGGTCTTTTTCTAACCTTTTGTTGCTTTTGTTGCCGAAAGCTCAAAATTCTGCACTTTGTATGCCCAACATCCGCCCCACCACGCTCTCACAGTCAGTGAACATAATCCAGGCAGCAATTACATTTCCTATTGAATGTAATTTCAAAATACATATTAGTATACATATACAACATCATTTCTAGGAGACAGGGTTGCCTATTCTGCATGTGCAAGGAAAACACGGGGATTATTAAAGTATTTCTGATTCTGATTCTGATTCTGAATACAAAAGCAATGCCTGCATACTGACAAAGCACAGATTTATTCAAATACACTACTTTTCCATGCCACTCTGATCATTTAATTTCAACTAATGAAAATCTTATTGGCACTGAAAGTTTAGAGTGTGTAGGTAGGTGTTACAAAATGTAAGGTTATTTGCAGGAAACCTGATAACAATACAAATAAAATCATAACAGCTTGTCAGCTGAAAGAATGTGGTTAGTTAAAACTTATACAATAGGTCAATAAAGCTAAACACATCGGCAAGTAAAAATGCTTCTAAAAATAATGCCATTGCTTCTGGCGGCAGATAATTAAGGTGTCATATGCTCCAACCAAACTGCTTGTTAGATAGTCAAACTGCATCTGAAACCCTGCTGCTGTCTAAACTCAGAAAAGTAGGGAGGGTGCGCCTGACAATTTCTTTAACTTTCTAAAGGCAGGGTTTAAAATTCTCTCTCAACAATTGTCATGTCTACAAACGTGCAACACTATTGAATGACATTTGTCTGAACATTTCAGCCCCATATACAGTATTATCCCGTATTCAAACGCTCATTGTGTCTCCACGTCTATGACTCTGCCTTTGAGCATGGCTGTTCAGAACAGCTTGCAAAGCTTTCAAACTTGTTTTAACCTTTGTTACCTTTTTTTAAATATGTTTCAAAAATGTTCCTGTGATGACGAAGTAACTGTAACAAAAAAAAATTATCAAACAAACACAACAAAATTAGCACTTTGGTTGTGTGCTGAAATTCGTTAAAACCCGTGCACCATTTGTAGTTATTTGGGTAACAAAATCATATACATACCGATATAACTATGACAGTTTGGGAGGGAGTGCAGCTCACAACTCAGGTTCATTGAAGTTAAAATACATTTGGCCTCACTGTCATAGACATAATTTACATTTCTGTGGGGACTGGTACTGCCTGCAGCGTCAAGCTTGCTCACCAGGAGCCTTTCGCTCTTTATTAATAATGGATGGAACAATGAAAGGAACCTGGGCAGGGCTCTGTCGACGGCATGGAGCTGCTGTCAAACAGTTAAACCTCTGCTGACAGGAGGCTGGTACTGTTGTTAGAAAGACTGCCTGGTACACAAAAAGTCACAGCCTTGATTCCTGCAGCGGCGAGTGTGTCCATCAACAAACTCCAAGCAAGTCGCAGATGAAGCACATGCCAGTTCCGTCACTGTGAGCCAGTCTTGATAAGCGTGTCAGCTCAGTGCCTAAAATGTAAATGTGAAAGAGAAATCTGACTAAGACATCCATGTGGTGACTTAAAGTCCCCCTTCACTCAAAAATATGTTTTTTTTCTTCTTATTCAGTTGGATGTGAGCATTCCCTGTGCAGAGTTTAACACTAAAAGGGTGTTTTCACATTCATCTGCTTAAAGTAAAACGTTTCTGTGTTAATTGGAAACTAGTTTTTTAAGGGACGGGGCCTACGAGCATGATGAGGTAGTTTTGAAGTCAGTCCTGGTCCAGTATACAAATGTGATGTAGAAAAGTGGAGTAGGACACATCTTGTGTCCAGCAGGAAAACTTAAGAAATTATCAACATTTGCATATAGAATTTTTGTGAGGTAGAAAGAGTAGGTGCAATTTGGGGGTTTCAATTAGGAAATTATCCTTTCAGACACACAGTATTGTTCCAAACACTATTGCATGCATGTTTCTGGAGGGGATCTTTAGATATTCTGGAGTGCACCTGATACTCGAGTCCTCCCTGCAGACTGGGGAAGAATTTTACAGATGAGGCGCTTTCCTCTGATTTCCTTCAGTATAGTTCAGGTTGCTTCATGTCTGCATATGTTCCCCAGTGTTTCATTTCTGCTTTCAAAATCATTATATTCCAGCATTTTATTGCAACTGTTATGCTAGTGCTCATTCCATGTTTCAGTAAAGAGAGAGAATACCAGACTGCAGAATGACTGATCACTACCAAGCAAACTACTGTCTGTCAGAAAGACAGGAAGCCATGCGGTCCTCCGTTGATTGAACAATGATTCAGAGGCAGTCAAGCATCTCCTCTCTCCTTCATGGAAGACAGTACACCCTTCTTGTTACAGTAGCAGCCTGGAGAACAGCGTTTGATTCTGATTTGACAGGATATGATTTTCCCACAGTGGAGGATACAAACTCTCTGAAGCCTGGGAGTCATCACTAAAGAGAGAGAACAGGGCATGACTTCTTGCAGCTTAAGAACTTGTTGATTTGACACTCAGCATGAAAGGTGATAAACCCAGATCAGCTCTCGGAGTGTTTTTAAAGCTCTATATATTAGTCAGGCCAGCTTAGTGTGTCGGTTAAGGAGGATATTTGACTGCAAAAACAGCTGTATCAGTCACAGCTCACTATCAGTCCTTCTCCCTTTGCTCTCTAGTGCTGAAAAATAAATGAGTACATCTAACTACTGTACTTAAATAAAATATTGAGGTACTTTTACTGAGTAATTCTGAGTAATTTCCCCTGATGCTGCTTTATACTTCGAATCCACTAAATATAAAAGACAAATACGATATATTTTATTTATTAATTTGATTGATAATTCGCTTTAGTCACTAGTTACTTTTGAGATTAACATTTTACATATAAAACATTAGTTTATGTACAATGCATTGTTACAAAGTGGTCCTGCTCCTTTTTGGCTTGGGACCCCCTACAAAAAGGGTGTAACTAGTTCTGTACTTGAGTATGATTTTAAGGTAGACAGCACCATTTTGCTGCATTGTGTACTTTTACTTTAAACAAATTAGGCCAATATTACGTATGTGCTTTGGCTTAAGTAACAAGTTTTCACACAGGTCTTTTACTTGTATTGGAGTGTTTTT